GAAGGGGTCGAAGGAAGTCTTGAGAGGCTGAAGAGACAAGGCTTGTATACCCTTTAGGCTGAGGTTGTAAGTGGTTCGACAAATGTTGCATCCACGAAACTTATGTCGAAGACAGAATTATGGCACATGAGGTTGGGCCATGTCAGCGAAAGAGACCTGGTCGAATTGGGGAAGCAGAACCTGCTAGGAGGTGACAAAGTCGAAAAGTTAGAATTTTGTGAATCTTGTGTATTTGGTAAATCCTGTAGGGCGAAGTTTAACAAATGCAAGCAAAGAACACATGGATCCCTGGATTACATTCATGCTGATCTTTGGGGGCCTGCAAGGAATCCTTCACACTCAGGTGCAAGGTATTTTCTATCTATCGTTGATGACTATTCCAGAAAGCTATGGGTATTCATTCAGAAGATGAAGGATGAAACTTTTGAGAATTTCAAAAGTTGGAAGATTCTGGTCGAAATTCAAATTGGCAGAAAGGTTAAGAGGTTGAGAACCGACAATGACCTTAAATTCTGCAGCGAAACATTCCATAATTACTGTGTTGAGTCTGGGATCTCAAGGCATAAGACTGCAGCAGGTACTCCTCAACAAAATGGCTTAGCTAAGAGATTCAATCGAACAATCCTTGAAAGGGTTAGATGCATGTTGGTTAATGCTGGATTGAAGAAGGTGTTTTGGGCGGAAGCTGTTTCGACAACAGCTTAACTGATAAATAGATGTCCCTCAACTGCCTTGGGAATGAAAATACCTGAAGAAGTTTGGTCGGGACATCCACTTAGTCTCGACAGACTGAGAGTATTTGGCTGTGTGGCCTATGCTCATATTAGGCAAGACAAGGTCGAACCAAGAGCTCTGAAATACATGTTCATGGGATACCCTGAAGGAGTCAAAGCTTATAGGCTATGGTGCCTAGAGCCAGGTCTCAGGAGGTATGTCACCAATCGAGATGTAGTTTTCAATGAAGCAGAGATGGCTTTCAAGAAAACTGATGATACTGACAAAGAACTGGAAAAGAGAGAGATTCCTGTTAAGGTGGAACATGTTGATGCTGAATTGCGTACCCCAAATGAAGTCAAAGAAGACGCAGAAGATGTTGTCGAAGATGTGGATACTGATAATGACTACCTGCTAGCAAGAGACAGGTCGAGGAGAGTCATCAAGCCACCTCAGAGACTTGGGTATGCAGATCTTATAACTTATGCCTTAATCTATGCAAGTAAGGTTCTAGACGAAGAACCTAGAGACTATAAGGAAGTTATGAGCAGTCGAAAAAGGACTGAATGGATGAAGGCCATTGATGATGAGATGAAATCTCTTCATGATAACAACACCTGGGAACTGATTAAGAAACCTACTGGAACCAGGTTAGTCAGCTGTAAATGGATTTTCAAAGTTAAGGAAGGAATCAACGGAGTGGCGTCAAAGAGATACAAGGCAAGATTGGTTGCTAGGGGGTTCACTCAGAAAGAAGGTGTCAACTTCAATGATGTGTTCTCTCCTGTTGTGAAACACAGATCCATTCGAATGTTGCTTGCCATGGTGGCCCAGTTCGACCTTGAACTGGAACAGATGGATGTGAAGACTGCGTTCTTGTATGGTGATCTAGATGAAACAATACTGATGAGGCAACCTGAAGGGTATGTCAAAAGGGGGAAGGAAGATTATGTGTGCAAACTGAATAGGTCTTTATATGGTCTGAAACAATCTCCTCGACAACGAAATAGGAGATTCGACAAGTTCATGGCACACATAAGTTTCATTAGAAGTCAGTTCGACCACTGTGTTTACTTCAGATTTTGACCGGGTAATTCATTTGTCATTTTGTTGCTCTATGTGGATGATATTCTAATAGCAAGCAATAATGTCGAAGAGGTAATGAGGGTGAAAGCTGAACTCAATAAAGAGTTCGACATGAAGGATCTGGGAGCTGCGTCCAGGATTCTTAGGATTGGCATCCGGAGAGATAGAAAGCAGTCAAAATTATGCTTATCTCAAGAGGCATACCTACAGAAGGTTCTCGAAAAGTTTGGTATGTCGAATTCAAAGCCTGTTGTGACTCCGAAAACCCCTCAATTCAAGCTGTGTATAGATCAGTTTCTTAGCACTGATATTGAAAGAACTTATATGAATAGCATTCCATATGCTAACATAGTAGGTTCTTTGATGTATGTTATGGTCTGTACTAGACCTGACATAACATATGCAGTAGGTCTTGTAAGTAGGTACATGGCGAATCCTGGAAAGGCTTACTGGTAAGCATTGAAGTGGATTTTGAGGTACATAAATTGGTCTCTGAATAAAGTCCTAATTTATGGTGGAGCCTTGGGTGAAGATAGTAAAGCAGGAATCGAAGGATATGTTGACTCTGATTATGCAGGTTGTATGGATTCCAGAAAATCTATCTTTGGATATGTGTTCACTATGTTTGGGACATCAGTCAGTTGGAAAGCAACACTTCAGAAGGTCGTTGCCTTATCAACCACTGAAGCAGAGTATATTTCCCTAACTGAAGTTGTGAAGGAAGCATTATGGCTTGAAGGTTTTGCAAAGGAGCTAAAACTTCAAGGTCGAGTTATCACTGTTAAATGTGATAGTCAAAGTGCAATACACCTGTTGAAGAATTCAACCTATCATGAGCAAACCAAGCACATTGATGTGAGGTTGCATTTCATCAGAGGGGTAATCGAGCGTGGAGAAGTCCAAGTGCTGAAGGTTTCGGCATATCATAATGCTGCTGATATGATCACCAAGACGTTGCCCAGTTGCAAGTTTTTCCACTGTATGCAGTTAATAAAGCTGCATGAAGAAAGCTAGTTTCTTGATGTTATAGAGTTAGATCCAAGGTGGAGATTTGTGAAATGTTGGGTCGAACTCTAGTATGGTCGAAGTTTGTTCGCGAGTAATGCGTGTTGTAGTCGAAGTTTATTCTAATATGCATTAGTCAATATTGCTAGGGTTGTTAGCATGTTGAATTGGGCCTTGCTTGTAAGCCAAATTGTTTAATTTAGCTTGTACCCTAAGTTAGCTTGTACCCTAAGTTAGCTTGTAATGGGTAATTGTTAAAAAGCCCATTAGGTTAGTGTGTTGTTTTTCTTATAAATAGGATACTAGTTTCTCAATCTTGTCATAAGGAAAAATATGAAGATAAAATCCTAATTTCAAGAGAGAGAGGTTATTTTGTTATTCTTATATACTTGTAATCTTGTTCTAAGAGAAAGGAAAGAATAGTAGTTTAATAACCAATCCTTGTTGTTTTCTTCTTTATTAACCGTAACCCTTGTGTGTTTCTTTATCATTAAGAAACTGTTTATACTTAGTTTTAAGGTATCCGATTCACAACAAACACTTTGGTGCACCTTATAAAGATCTGTATTTTCTAAAACACCCTTGTCATCAACAAGTGCATTTATCTGAAATTGAGGGTCCTTGTAATATATTGTCTCAAACTCCCTATAACCCAAGTCTTTCAATGCACCAACTAGCTCAAAATAACTCCATTTGCCGACATCTACTCTCAAATCATCTACTAGTCCATCTTCATATACACTAAGTCCTTCATCAATAAATTCACCACTATGATGAATTTTGAGACTTATTTATTCATCCATTATACCTATTCATATTACCTAAGTAATTAGAGTTTACACTAAAATAGTTACATAAATCCTAAAACTGAACAAAACCACATATTACCCTAAGACATTCATAAACTCTAAAACATATTAAAATTTACTAACCTTTTAATAAACATGTCTTCAATCGTCTTCAATCTGTCACGTCTTTGATGAAACAACCCTATGCGCCTTCAATCAGTCACATCTTCAGTGAGATTTCTCCCTTCAATTCGCCATCGCAGCAACAATTTTAGGACTTCGTCGTATAAGTGTCTGGGTTAATGAAGGATACATTACACTTAGATTGTTATATTACATGTTATATCCACGTTAACAACAAAAAAGTCACCTGGACAAACATGAGATCATTTTACTAGCTTTGACTAACGGCAACAGACGAAAGGACAAACGTGACACCATTTTAAAAGTTAAAAGATTAATTTGCCACTATTTAAAGTTAAGGGACCAAACTGGACCTCGAGATAGAGTTAAAGGATAAAAAAAAAGTATTTTGCCGAATTTAAATTTTAAATTAAATTTTTTTCAAAAATTCATTTTTGAAAAACCTTAAATATATATACACCAGCAACTTATATATATATATAAATTGAGTGCTATAAATTAAAATGAATAAATAAATATTTTTCTTTTACCCTAACAATTAACTACAATATATATTTTCCTTCGACCATTGGAACTTTTGATTCGTCGTCGAATATGCATCAACTTAATCTAACCTCTACGTTCCACTTAAAAGTTATAAACAATCATTAAAACGTATAATAATATATAACAAACCGTAACGTACTTCCCCTTGAACATATATTAGTTTAACGTGAACCATAGATAAATTTTTTGAAACCAAATTTTTTTAATTAAAATCAACTTAAATATTTCTTTTATAATGCATAAATTAATTATTTGTTGTAATATTGACACATGAATTTTTGAAGCAAAATTACAAGATGAAATCACACTGTCATATCTTTTGAGAAATGAGCAATGCAAAGTGCAACATGCTTTTATGATTTCCCTAATTTCCTACAAAATTCTAGTACACCACACCACATATATAATGTGTCACACGTTTATGGTCTCTTTGTAACTGATAAATGTTCTCTGAAATTTGATCATTAATGGACAAAAATTCTTTGTATTTTTCTACTTGACAACAGACTAGTACACATAACAAGAATACAATTGTTTTTGATAAGAACAAGGTCTACTGCTTGTTGTTTGTAACAAGGCGAGGAAGATACTCTTTGCGGTGCAGAATGTACGCATATATGTACCGTATCTATACGTGTATGTATATGTGTATATATACTTTTTAAAACCTATATCTTCTATTGTATTGATTCATATTTTGAGTGTAGAAGAAGAAAAATGGAGCAAAACAAAGACACAGAACAAGTTGTAAACAAGAAGCTGGGTGGTTATAGAACCATGCCTTTTATCATAGGTAATTTGTATTATTAATCTGTGACAAAAATTAAGGTTATGAAGAATTATGATTACTAACTTGTTTTTGATTTGGTTTTGTTTTATTAGCAAATGAGACTTTCGAGAAAGTTGCAACGGTAGGACTTCATGTGAATATGATTTTGTACCTACTCAATGAATATCAACTAGAACCTTCAACTGCAGCTATCATAATTTTTCTATGGAATGCTGGATCCAATTTCGTGCCACTTTTTGGTGCTTTTCTTTCTGATTCTTGTCTCGGACGGTTTCGTGTCATTGCTTGGGGAACAATCATCGACCTTCTTGTAAGTTATAACCGATATTGTTAGGTTGAACACTTTATTGGCTCGAACGGTGTTCGAACGAAGACATGGTTTAATCTTGTTTTAATTCATTGCAGGGATTAATTGTGTTATGGTTAACTGCAATCATTAGACAAGCGAGGCCGCCGCGTTGCGATGAGAAACCATGCACGAGTGCAACAGGAGCACAGTTCTTGTTTCTTTTTTCATCGCTTGCTTTAATGGCGGTCGGAGCCGGTGGAATTAGGCCTTGCTCTTTAGCTTTTGCAGCTGATCAGATAAACGATCCGAAAAGTACGAAAAATGAGAGAGTGATGAAGAGTTTTTTTAACTGGTATTATGTTTCAGTTGGTGTATCAGTAATGGTTTCAGTGGTGTTCATAGTGTACATACAAGTTAAAGCTGGTTGGGTTGTTGGTTTTGGTATTCCTGTGGGTCTTATGTTGTTTTCTTCTGTCATGTTTTTCTTGGGATCTTTTATGTATGTTAAAGTTAAACCAAACAAGAATTTACTTGCTGGATTTGCTCAAGTAATTGTTGCATCATGGAGAAACAGACACATGACACTGCCTCAAAACAGCTCTGGTTTATGGTATTTTCATAGTGGTTCTATTCTTGTTCATCCTACGGATAAAGCAAGGTACTACTTTGTCCTATTCAATTAAGAATCTATTATATTAATCCCACCGGTTGGTTGGTGAAGATTTGAGATATGAGAGTGTGTTCCACTTAATGTCTTATATTCGAACACTGCTAGATGCTAACAATTTTTGTGTTAGATTAGTTTATACTTTATACAGAGTTTTGTTCTGCCGTGGAATTAGTCTCTCTCGGATTAGTCAGTCTTAGGTAGGGGTGGCAAAACAGACTCGGCCCACCGAAACGTGTCTGTTTTACTTGCATTTTTTCTATGGTGGACGCTTTAGGTCCGCAACCTCTAATATGTCCATTCCACTCCGTTTTTTTAGGATTTTTGCAGGAGGCGTGGACATTATCATAAATTTTGTAGTTTTTAGGTGACGTGTTCGCGGTTCTGCTCTGCCATGCCTTGTTTTTTTGTCAGACATGTCAAAATTTTAGATATGCACCTTCAATTATGTCTGTCTTATTCTTTTTTTTTTACAAACTTTTACGGGACAGATCTAAACGGGATGACCATGCCCGTTTGCCATCCCTAATCATAGGTTAGGATACGGAGATTTTAAAAAAATTTATTATATTTTTATATTATTAAATTGAATATGTTTTGATTCTGCCTAGGTTCTTGAACAAGGCATGCATTATGAAGAATAGAGAGAAAGATTTAGACTCCAACGGTATGCCAATTGATCCATGGAGTTTGTGTACAGTAAGACAAGTAGAGGAATTGAAAGCAGTGATCAAAGTTCTTCCCATTTGGTCAACTGGAATCACAATTGGCATTACAATAAGCCAACAATCATTTTCTGTGGTCCAAGCAAACACTATGAACAGAAAGTTTCACAACTTTGAGATTCCATCAACAAGTTTCACTGCATTCAGCATCCTCACATTAACCATATGGGTAGCTATATATGACCGTATCATAGTCCCTTTGTTAGCAAACTACACAAAAAGAGGAAAAGGACTTAGTTTAAAGCAAAGAATGGGAATTGGTATAGCAATCTCGTGTTTATCTACCGCAGTGGCTGCATTAGTAGAGAAAAAGAGAAGAAACCAAGCATTAAGAGAAGGGTTAATGAATAATCCTAAAGGTATAGTGAACATGACAGCGATGTGGTTAGTGCCTCAACAATGTTTGGTTGGTTTTGCTGAGGCTTTTAATGTCATTGGACAGATTGAGTTTTTTTATTCTCAGTTTCCTAAAACTATGTCTAGCATTGCTGTTTCATTTTTTGCTCTTGGACTTGGGACAGGGAATTTGGTGGCTAGTATTATAGTTAAGGTTGTTAAGATTGGGACACAAGGAGAAGGAAAAGTTAGTTGGTTAGCATCAAATATCAATCAAGGGCACTATGATTACTACTATTGGCTACTTACTATTCTAAGCTTGGTTAATTTGTTTTACTTCTTATTGTGTAGTTGGGCTTATGGGAGTGTGGAAGAGATTAAAAATTGGGATGAAGAGGTTGATGCTAAATGATACAAATTGTGAGGAAAAAAATTTGTAGTTAATGAAGAGTGTTTTACTTGTTGATGGTTGAATGATCGTGGATGGATGTTTGAAAAAGTTGTACAATCACAAATTAGGAATTACTTTTTGAATATAAAATTTTACCATCATCAAGTACTACTTTTTGAATATATATTTTACCTTTATTTATTGTGTAAAAGAAAAATTATTTATAGTATTATACTCGTAATGATATGTTTATTGTAATAAACTTTGTTATGTCTTTTAATTAGGGTTGTTGATGGTTATTTTAGAAAATCGAATCTAACTAAACTAAATCATAAAATTTACTCGAACCGTTTCAATTTACTCTGAACCAAATCGAACTAAAATTATTGATTTGGTATACCATTTAGAAATTTCGAATTGTAGGAAATCATTAGACAATTTTTTCCAAAATATGTTATTGTTAAACTATTTTTTGAATTTAAAAAAAACAAATTAGTATTTTTACTTTCAGTTCGGTTCGGTTTCAGTTTTGATTCAGTTTATTTGTCATATGATTTAGTTCTAGAACTGTTAGTACAATATGGTTCGATTTACTAACCAAACATAACGGTTCGATTATTTTAACTTCATTTCGGATCGGTTTGACGATTTAGTTTGATTCTCAGTTTTTTTAACACCACTACTTTTAATATATCATCTTCATATTACTTTTCCTAAAACAACAAATTGGTAGCAAATATTATTTTCTTAAGGACATGTGAATTTAGTGCATAAAAGCCACCCTTACAAATGGATATTGAAATAAATTTCTCACTTGCTCCACCCAGTTTTAATGGTGAAAACTATCATGTTTAGACTTTTAAGATGTCAGCTTATCTTGAAGTATTAGACCTTTGAGATGTTATAGTAGAAGACTATGAAGTACAACTACGAATTCAACAGAGGTTTACAAAGAAAGAAGACATGAAAGTCTAGAGATAAAGTTTGTTTATTCTCTACATTGTCAAAAACAATATTTACCAGAATCGTGAACTTGAAATTGAAAAAAAAGACTTTTTGGAATTACCTCGAAAAGGAATACCATGAAAATGAAAGATACATAAGCATGCAGATAATACACTTGATTTAAGAGTTTGAGACGCTAAAAAATGAAGGGACAAAACCATCAAAGAGTACCCAGACAAGTTGAAATGTGAAGTTAACAATGTGAGACTGCTCGACGATGAAAGAGTCATGCAAAAAAAAATTCTAGTCTTTGTGCCTAGGAGATATGAATGTAAAATTTCTTCATTGGAAGAAACTATAGTTTTGTTGAGAATTTATTTGACAGAATTGGTGGAGGCATTGTAGGCACAATAACAAAGGTGGTCGATGACAGAAGAAGCGTCCATAGGTATTAATTCTAGGCGAGGGGGGAAGTTTTAATGATGCAGGAGAGATATTAGCAATATAAGTGGATGAGTCGGAGGAGGAAGAAGAGATTGGGGCGGAATGCAAACTAATCGGAGTCCTTGGTAACATTGGGGAGGGTCGAACTATGAAATTTGAAGGAAAACTTGCAGGCATTGACATCGTTGTGCTCGTTGACAGCAGAGCAAGCCACAGTTTTATTTCACCGGAACTCACTACTGCACTGGGGCTTACAGAAGGAGTTTGTCAGGGCCTCAGAGGTCAAAATTAATATGGCATCCCACATTTTTGTGGTGGATGCGTTGGTATTGGGACTTGGAGGGTTGGATTTAGTGCTTGGTATATCATGGCTAAGGTGATAAAAACAAGGGAATAAAGTCACTGTTGGATCAATTTTCTACAGTTTTTCAAGAAAAAATTCAGCTACCTCCAATCAGAAATCAAGTCCATCGCATTAAACTTATCCGCAACAAGGCCCCATAAATGTGAGGCCTTATAAATATCCTCACCATCAGAAAGAAGAAATTGAAAGACAAGTTAAGGAGATGTTAGATGCCGAAATTGTCCGCCCTAGTATGAGTGCTTTCTCAAGTCCAGTTATATTGGTCAAGAAAAAGGACTCTTCATGGAGAATGTTTGTGGATTACAGGGCGCTCAACAAAGTCACGATTCCGGACAAGTATCCTGTTCCAATAGTAGATGAGCTACTAATTACATATCTACATGCCAAATCAATGTATGTACAGCGCTTTTTTATGTATAAACCTGTGAGCTATATACAGCCCCCAATGAACCTAAAAAATGCAAGCACTTTTAAGGCTTAATGAATTTACTATTATCAAGGAAAATTTCATCTTGTCTTCCTGTACAAGCACATTGAGTAACTTATTTTAAGTCATTTGCCAAGCCTGCAATCACCAGAAATTTCTTTCTATTGTTATTCATTTCGAGAGGGTCATACATTAAGTTATGAAGTAAGAAAAAGATATAACCAATTGAACTTAAAATTCAAGCAAAACGTTAATTACCTGAATTTGGCCATCTGAAGTTCCAATCACCAAAATTTCTTCATTGCTGTCTAGACTCATGCAATTAACCTTACAATTTGTACCCAACTGCAACGTCTCAACTCTAATGTGTTTCTTCTTATCCCAAATTTCTACAACACCTCCCTTGCACCCCAAATATATTAATTCTGAACTCACTGCCATAGCCCTCACTTCTGATCCAGTTTGCAGTGATCCAACCATGCTGTAATTGGAATTGTTCCATATCTTGAGGTACAAGCAAAACCGTCAGTTAACGATGGTAAGACATTGATCAAATTAACATCTAGAAGCTCAAAGAATTTCTAGGCTTTAGAATTTGTTATATCATGAAACCTGATGTTTGTAGCAAGAATTAAGTATTATTTAGACCTTTACATAACCACTATACAATATATGTGTGAGATACCTTTATAGCAGTTCCGTCCACGGAAGAGCCAGCTGCATATATAAGTTCACCATGAATTTTCAGAGCATGAATAGGATTGGCTTTCCCAAGCAATTTTTTAGAACCACTTTGAATATTACTGATAGTTCCAGTGGCCAAATGTATCTCCTGAAATATCACAATAAGATTATTATCATTAAGTTGAGATAGCATCGCATTGGATTTACGCTACACCATACTTCTTAAAACTTGATACCTGAACACTACTGTCATGGCATCCACAGTATAATCTTCCATGAGCATGAGCCAAACACCTCACATATTTATTCGAGTTTAACAATTTGGATTCTCCATTTAATGACTGTACCTGATGAGAGAGAAGTAATTATGGTACACAATAACATTACTTTAGTCAATATGTATGAACTAAATCTAAAGCATTTTGAGCATTCGACGGGAAAGAAGCCAATCTGTTCCAAAAATTAGTGGCATGTCAATATTCCACTTGGGGGTTCATTTTTGGATACAATCAGATAGGAATGAAACTGCAATATCCAGCTCAGAGAATGTTTGCGTTTGAGAGAAGGAACTAGTATTATTTTATAATCTTGTATGCGTACCTTGACACCAGCCCCCTGTGGAATGAAACAAGTTGTGCTACTGGTTACAACTAAATTATGAATCTGGTCCTTCATATCTTGCACCTGCTCGCAATGAATTGCTTCCTTTCCAATAGACCAGATCTGTTATTCAATAAAACAAAATCATTGTTAACAGGCTTCCTGATATTGAGATTAGAACTGCCATTGTTTTTACCTTTGCAGTTCGGTCAAGTGAACCACTGTAAAGTCTGTCACCAGATTCTGAAATAGTCAAGTTTGTCACGGCCTTGGTATGTTCTTGGATCTCTTGCAACAGAAGTAATAAGTTATCTTTTAATGTCCACACCTTCAAAAGTTACAAAGTATTCTCATGTAAGCTATTCAATCACAGTAAAGTTGTCATACGAAGCCAAGAACCAAACATTTTTCTAATGACCAGGTATATATTATAGCCATTCAATCTTTCAAGCAAGTGGCGAACACCATGTCAAGAAAATTTACTCCTTTTTGTGAAACCTTGTATGTTTTTTTTAACACATTTAGCTCAATTCTAGCACCAAATTTAATTAAGCTATAATAGTTAAAATAAGAAATATATTATCTGACAGACTGATATAAAACTTATATGGTTGTTTCAATAATTGTAATCACGACATGTTAAAATTTACACAGCATATGAAATCCTAAATTTTATTACCTTGATTCTTCCATCTGTATGGCCTGAAATAATTTTATCATTGGACCAAATGACAGACAGCACTTCTCCATTATCTCTGCAATCTACTTGAATTAGCTCTTTATGTCTCCAAATGTCCTGTTACACTAAAGAATTTTAAATCATCTACTATGCATACACTAGAAAATGGTTTAAGAATACACCAAACTTAACTGTTTTAGACTGATTCTCATCAACCAAAACGTTCAGCATTTCAGATGCCAAGGGAGAAAATCTCTTTAGCTCTCTCAAACCTTTTAAGATATCCTTGGCGTAGGAAGCAGTTAGATCACGTACCCCATCTGAAATTTACAATATCAAGTACAATCATCATATATTGCTGCTTTGCATAAATGACCTGCGGGCTTTTGAATACGAATATAGAGAAGCCAAAATAGTATCATCTTATCTAAATCTGTTGAATACTGTATGAGTAATTTATGATGCTAACATAAACTGCAAATTCGATGCTATTTTCCTTCATAGACTATTTTTATTCTCTTATTATTATCATCTTTCTGATATAATTTATTTAAATCAAGGTTGTAAAAAATTGCTATGTTTGTGAAACTTACCAGAAAATTGAAGAAAGCTGTTGAGAGCAAGCATAGAAAGGATTCGGTGTTCTATGTCCTTGGCAGAATTTAATTTATTTACAAACTGCTTTAGCAGACATACACGGGCTGCTCCCTGTATCCCTGTATCTGGTAGAATGGTCAGCATGTTTACGAGCCATGTAGCAGATATTAAGCAAGCTGAACGCAGTTCTGGAATTCTGCTCTTCATGCCATCTGCCAAAGCTTCAAAAAGTATACCAAACTCGTGGCTAACTAGAACAGACGCAATTTTTCTTTCCCAATCATCTGCTGCTTTCTCTTCTTCCTGTTGATTCCGAGTACACAATTATATTTAAAATAACAGAACCCAAACAAAAATTAGATATCAAAAGAACGTTAGGGAAGCAGAAAAAAGAAACTCAAAATACTGCAAGAGTTTCAATGAACTTTACTGGAATTGTTTCGATTTCTGAAAAGAGGTTGCTTATATGATCCTCCTGTACAGCACTTCTCGGACTTTTGTCAATACCTGCACGTTTAAGAAGGACTTCTTTGATAAGGGGCTCTCCAAAGGAGTTGAACCTCCCCTGCAGTGACATGATTGTATCAGCAGCTGCTAACTGTGTAGTAGGGAAATCTGAGTTCCCCAGGCATGAAATAAGAGTATCTATCGCCTCTTCACGGTATATGCTCATCATTCTTGGTTCAACCTAAAAATGGAAGGATGAATGTTAACCCCCTATTACCGGAATCTAAAGTAGTTCCTATTTTTAAGGCTTAGCTAGTACTACTATTAAATTCCAAGATTCATACCAGAAGATCAAGTTGGAGTAAAAGACTGGCCATGACTGGCCTTTGATCTTGAAGGGCTGTCTGCAAATAAATAAGAAGAGTGTGCATTGTACTAAAAGGTCCTTCTTCCTTAATAATGTGGAGAATTCGTTCATTGAATGTTCTCCTGGAAGGAACCAATAAGAAGCTATTAGACATAAGCTAAAAAAATACATTAGTTTGATGACAAATAGTACTTTAGAGGGCTCTAAACTTACTAGTTAAAGAATAAAAGATGGAAAATAATTAACTTTACTAGTTAGCTAAAAGTTTCTCGGTTTCACTGGAAAAATAAAATTAGATACTAGTTTGGTTAGCATAGTCATGAATACAAAACATATATACCTATTTAATTTGATCAACTCAGAAAAAAATTCAACAATCTTAAAACGTTCTGCATCTGTTGCACTGATGAAGCTTTCAAGAATAGGAGACAGCTCTGCTTTATCTGCAATGGTGTTCCTGCAAGTTCCATCCTCTTGCATGCATCTCAATAAGATCTCCACGGCAGCAATCCTCTCCTCTGCCCATTCAGCTCCGAAACTTCCAACAACAGCTTCAATTGCTTTCTCAGAGAACATAGTTTTGACAATCGAAGACGCAATTATCTCATCGCTGCTTCCAATAACCTGTGCCAGTAGAAGAACCGCTGCGGTTCTGGGATTTAGACACGTCTTAACTAAGTCTTCCTCTTTCTTAATGAAAACTGCTATGAGGGACTCCACTATGGCCATCTCGGTAAGAGTCACAGTGGATGGGTTTAGGACATACAATAGCACAACAGCCTCTGTCAACCCTTTCTTGAAAAGAGCCACTATACATTCAACGTCGGTATCCACACGTGTGAGAGTCTGAATAACAACATTGTCTTTAGATCCCATCTCGGCCAGGAGAAAAACTGCTGCCTGTAGGACCTGGGGTTCAACAGAATTGAAAAGTATCTCCATAAACCCGTTAATTATTGGAGGTTTTGATAGCATGCTATGGATATCCACTCCCAGATTCCCTCCTCTCCACAACTTCTCAATTTGAAGAACCGCCATTTCAGATTCCTGGAGAATCTCTGACATGTACAGGTTATTGATTGCACTACGTAACTCACTAATCACCCCATCAACAGTGGCTTGTGTTATAACACTATTAGGAGAAGCTGAAGGCATTGTTGTCTTTACTTCTTCCTCGTTATCTTTGGATGGACTCTCACATGTTGGAAGGACTGAACTGGGGTTGCATTCTTTCCAGCTGGCAACTAGTCTTTTGAGCACATAATTTGTTTTAGGTAGCTTGGTATTTTGCAGCTTCTGGCGAGTGATGGGACAAGTTATGTTCTCTCTATTGAACCATTCCTCAATAGCTTTACGTTCATATGTCTGACCAGTCTCAAGAGTCACTGGATCATCAAATATATTACTGGTTATCGGACAGACAAAGTCTTTAGGAGGCGTTTGTTTCCCACTTCCACTCAGCAGCGTGTTTTCGTAATCTGCCATTGGATTATCTGGGGAGCTAGAAGCAGGAAGAATCCAAGTTAAAGAAAATGTAGCAGACAACAAAATATTGAAAAATTGTTTTTTAATAAATATACCCCATGGATTCTTTTAAGATGGCTAGCATTTGTTCCTGGGTTTGGCTTTGTTGAGGCTCCAACAATGCTATATTTTTGTCTTTTTCCTACAGGACATATTCAGCACTTAGCATTAAAAGAACTAAAACAACAAGCATAGAAAATTCAGTCCCTATTGGATTTCCCGTCTCTAGGTGGCATCATTACCTCATTTTCAGCTTCAGAATCTGAAGAAGAACAAAGTGAATTCTCATCTAAAGAAAATTGAGTTTCAGGGGCCGAGTTTAAATAGACTGGTGTTGTCCAATATTTTGAAGATTTTGGGGGATTGAGGACTCTGGGAGAGACTCTTTGAGGATATAATGGTGCCTGGGAGGATCTACTGCTGGAATTGCTGCTCAAATATTCAATAGACATATCCCTTTCGGACCACATTGGCTGCATGAATCAGTGGAAAGGGATAAGGAAATGATGAAACGCTCATGAAATTCATATTCATTGAGTCATCAAACCAAAACACATAGAAACTCCTGGTTTTCTCCAATACTAACAGGCCTTATTTCAATTACAAATTTGTTTCTGGCTATTAAGAAACAAGGCATCACAAGTCAAAACTCATTCGTTCATCATGGACCGTGACTTAATGCACAACAACTAACAAATTTTGAGTAGTCCAATTTTAATAACATTTGCATAGTGCAAGGTTCCGCCAAATAGTAAAACATCATGGACTACATCACTATGCCATGGAAATCTTCTCCATGGAAAATCGAAGTAGCTTTCCAATTATTTGAAGCATCTAAAAACAAACTCAAGACCTCCATGTTTTTCATTACAGATCAAATTTATATAGTTGAAGTTTTAAGTTATCTAATATCTAGATAACTTGCACAAGATTTTATAAATACCTAATGAAATTAACACAACAATGAATAAACACTGGAAAGTTGAACTAAAGAAAAGTAACAAATCTGTAAAGAAAGAAAAAGCCAACATTACATTATACCGTCCGTTCTCCAACACAGGCATTTGCATTTCTTCCATTTTGTTCTCTCCGCCACCACCATTGCCATCTTCAGCAGCGCTCTTCAATATTAGCAAAGGTGGAGTAACCTCCACATCTTCATCTTTATTCATCAAAACCTCTTTAAAGTACAAAGCAAGAACCCTACAGTTCTCATCTAGAACCTCTTCGTACTCTCTTTCCAACTCCCTCAGCTTTGAGGCTTGTTCACCGCTCACATTCGACAACAACTTTGCGTAAGGCATAGCCACTAACTCGTCGGAGTAGTCACTCGTGGTTACACAAGTGGATGGCAAAATCAGCGTTCTCTGTTCATCGAACCATCGGAAAACAGGGAAGAGATGGATATAAAATAGGCGCTCGTAGAGAGATGGTGCTAATTCAGATCGTGCGAAGGAAGGATTAGAATGGAAGATTTGAAGAAGACTAATGGCGGATTCATCAGAGCGGTTACGAAGGATAAGAATGAGGGAGAGAATGAAAGAAGAGAGAGGATAATCAGTGAGAGGAAGGAGAAGCTTCTCGGCAAGGGAGAGAGAAGAGGAACGAATAGAGGAACTAGAGTACGAAATGGCACTTTCGAGAGCGTCTGCAGCGAGGTTCAATTGTTTTAGGTTTACTTGATTTACAGGAGTTTCACGGCGGAGAGTTTCAATGAGATGACGCCGGAGTTCTGATTGATGAATCACGCCGATGACGAATGCGGTTACGTAACGGAGGATCTGAGCTTTTGTTGCGACAGTTACAGTGTCCATGGCGGTAGTTTGATCGGAATGAGAGTGAAGTAAGAGTTCAAGACGTTAACGGAAATAAACAGTATTAACCGAATCAATTTGCGAGAACGAAAAACTGGGAAGGGGACGGCAGATTCGAAATTACCAGTTTACCCCTATGTTAAAGTTTTGAAATAATCTATACGACAAAGGTAATAGTGGCGTTAAAAATACTTATAGATTATGATTTTGTTATTTAATCAAAAAATGATGAAAAAGACAAAGTTTAGAGGGAAATAATAATAGTAAGTGCTAATTGGCTGCATCTTCACAGATGTATGCGGAAGGAGGGTAAGTACGACCAAGAGAAAAGGACATTTTGGTAATTAAAATATTAACTTTGAAAACTCGCGGCAAAACGTGAAATAATGGGACCCGTTTTTGCCGTTCAGCCGGCTTGTTTGGCTATTAATCACGTCACGCGGTTCATCATCCCTTTGGTTTCTGGATTTTGGATTCATCATGTTTTTACATTTGTAGTAGATAATTTTTTTAATTAGTTTTTTTTTCAATCTGATTTTTATCTTAGTATTTTAATTGCTGGATTTTTACTAGTTCAACTTTGTTTAAATAATTAATATTTCTGAGTCAAAATAATTAATTAATATTTCTGAGTCAAAATAATTAATTAATATATTTTCATGTTAAAAAAGATTGACTTTAATAATTTTTGTTCAAGTATCTTTAATTCAGATTAAATTTAATCTCATAATTTTAAAAACATTTATTTTGATCCTTCAATTTTTTAAATAGACTCGTGATATATTATTTTCGTCTATTCTATTGGTCAAAAGTCAATTAAAAATTTCAAATCACACTAACATGAATATGATAATACTAAATGAAAAATAATTTTCTATTTTATTTGGTTTGTTGTTGGATTGAAAATAATTTTCTATTTTATTTGGTTTATTGGGTCATATATGAATTGTATATAAACCAAGAAAAATCTAGAAAAAAATTAGGATAAATTCTTTTGTATCCTCTCAAATAAAAAATAAGAATAAATAATTTTAAAATCACAAATATTATGTATTTTGCAGGTTCACTCACGAAAGAAAAAAAGATGAAGTTGAATGTGTTGATAATGTAGTGTGTTTGATTGGGTTCTTCCATTGCTAACAGATAATAAAAGTTATAGAACAGTTTTAAATGAACTTCATCTTTAACCTCTTGATTGATCCGATTGAAAAAAGTCACATCTAAATACAATGCTTTTATTGTTAATTGTAATTATTGTGAAAGCGACGCCATGCGTGCGAATATGACGCCATGCGTACACAATCTGAGCTTTGAGAACTGGATTCTTTCTTTCTTCAAAGAACAAATTTTTCAAAAAGACTAGGTCAGGCTCATCCTTCATCGGGTATCCAAGCTGGCGAGGAGCTAAGATAGGATTGTAGCTGATGCATCCTTTGGTGCTAAGGAGAGGCACATTAGGGAAATCTTCGCAGCTATGGATCATGACAATTCCTCCATACATAGGATCGTACCACTTGATGTCAGAGTGCTTGACTGACGAAATCCTTTCTGTCCATGAGAGTTCGCTCTGCATATCCCAAAGTAATGGTGACATTGGCAAGTGCGAAATAAACCACTTGTACAAGAGAGCGGTGGAACATACAATTTGGCGTTCTCCATGATAGTTATTCAAGTGAATGGAAAAATACACGTCATCCAATAAGATGGGAACAAGATTTTTGATCAAGAAGAGGTTGATTGCACTCTCGTCAACAAAGTTATCAGTAGTTGGAAACAAGAAGAGCTCATAGATTAATAATGCTAAGATGGCCTCGAATGCTTCAGAATTTTTCGATTCAGCATAGTACTTAGCTTTTCCAAATAAGAACGCAGCTGGTAATAGAAACCTCCTTTGACAGTCATGTGAGATTATACCTCAGTCAGCTCCAAATGCGTAGCCTCTGACATAACCCTCTCACTAGGAGTCCCTTCTCTTCCAGAAAATGGTTTATGAGTGACGTCTAATCCCATTAGTGCAGAATATTCCTCCAAAGTTTGAAGTAGTTGGTAATATGGAAATGTGAAACAATGATAGATTGGATCGTAGAACTGCACCAGCCCTAACAACATCTCTTCATCCACCTGAAGCCTTAGCAATGACAGCATACTTCAATACTTGTCTCTGAATGCCAACAGATCTTCTACTAAACCTCTCAGCTTTCTCAGATTTTCCAACTTTGGACTTTGGAATATATACTTTGAAGTTGCTCTCTTTCCTGGATCCATTCAATAATGTCTGCAAAACAAATTTAAATTCCTTGAATGGTTAGAAAAAACATGAATGCAATGCAAAAGTGTCGTGGAATTCAGATATTTACAAACATCAGGAAGTGCTAAAAACTCATTTTCATTGTCCAACAAATGAATTACAACATATCAGTACTTCTTACAAGAGTCTTAAGCAGAAAGCTAAATAAAAATTCAACAAAAGTCTTAAGGAGATCCTTCTAACAACCTCATGTTGAGCTTCTTGATCTCTTCTTCCATCTGAGCCTTCTCGAGAATAAGCTTATCCATAATCAGTTTCCATGGAGTTGACTAAGGGCTAGATGAAGACAAATCCTCTGACGCTTTCCTCTTATAAGAGAGCACTTCTTCATTCTTCATTTGCAGTTGCCTCTAGAGCTCTGCATTCTCCTCAACAGCCACTTGATACTTGTGTTTCAAAGCGTCTTCTGTTTGTTGTGATTTTCTCAAATCGATTCTCAACTCCTTTGCTCCAGACATGAAGATTAGGGTGGGTTCTTCTTTTAGAACCATGGGCTCTTGTCGAAAATATGGCATCTTCAACTCAATTGCCCTTTTTCGGACCCATTGGAGATAGGGTTCCAAAGAGACACAATTAGGTTTTCCTATATCTTTCTTCCCTTCTTATGTAAATGACTCCAAGCATTTAGGATTTTCTCCTTTAGCTTCTTATTACCTTCCTCTTTTTTGAAGAAAATATTTTCCACATGAACACTGTTGGGTTTGTTCTTTAAAGGATATCCTAACTGTCGACGAGCAAGGATTGGGTTATAACTGATCCCTCATTTAGTACCAAGAATAGGTACATTACCAAAATCTTTGCAGCTAACAATAATCGTCACGCCATCATAGACACGATTGTACCAATCAATGTCAGAGTGAGTGAGAGCTATGATCTTCTGTGACCACCAACCTTTCTCAAGATCCCAAAAAGCGTTAGCCTTAGGCAAGTGTGAAATAAACCAATTGTATAATAAAGGAACACAACAAGTGATCATCCCTCTATTATGGAAATTCCTCAAATGAACAAAATGATAGGCATCCGCTAGCAAAGTAGGCACAAGGTTCTTCCTCAAGAAAATTTTGATGGCATTGAGGTCTACAAAGTTTCCAAAGCTAGGGAACAAAAAGATACCATATATGAGCAAGGCAAGGATAGCCTCAAATGCATCCATGCTCAAATGATCGGCATAATACTGAGCTTTCCCAATAAAAAATTCTGCAGTCAAGCCAAAAACTCCTCCTTTTATAGTCATATTATTTTGAATATCGACCCATCCCAAATGTGTAGCCTTAGCAATATCCTGCTCCTTAGGGTCCTTCTATAATATAGGAAAATGAGACTCATCAAGAATAGGAAAACCAACCAGATAGGAGTATTCTTCCAGTGTAGGTATGAGTTGATAGTCAAGAAAAGTAAAACAGTGGTAGACTGGATCGTAGAACTGAAGTAGTATGGAGAGGAGTCCCTTATCCATCTTCATCTTCAACAAGGACAACAGTTTCCCATATATGCTCTTGAACATTTTTGGATTTGTCACCAAAGTCCCCAATCTCCTTAGGTCATCCATGTTAAGACTCTTGTAAGTGTACTTCAAGGTTTTCTTCCTTTCACTATCCATGACAATCCTGATGTTTACAAACAAAAGTCTAAGTTCCACGAAACTTTTATGGTATGATTCTCATGAATGCAAGTATGCACAAACAAAGGTAAACAAAAATTCACATATACACATATATAAACACACAGACAAGGGCCTAGGTTTAAAGAGCACGAGCATGAAGCCATGATCTACCCATCCCAAAAGGTGTGTATTAAGGGTTTGTTATCTACAGAATAAGGTTCTAAGAAGTTCCTAGAGTCAACAACCCATCTTTCAGATATTATCAATTTCTCAAATTACTTGGTAGTCGATAATATTCTCAAGAGAGTCTCGTTCGAGTGTAGTATTGCTTACCAACTATTTAGGGACTACTCCCTTATAGCCATCGCACTACGTCCTAACAAGGCCAAAGTGGGGGTGAAAAGGTAACTAAAGGTTCCTACTGTCATGGGCTTCTAGGTCAAAAGTAGTAGTGTTTTCACGAATACTCGTTCAACAAAACTACTCCCAAGAGAGCCTCTATTAAGCAGTGGTTTCTCAAGTCAACTTGATCAGGAATCAACTCCCTATAAGCCTTCTTGAATATACCACCTTCCTATCATAGGTGCACTCAAGTCCGGGTATAGGACTTATCCTCACCATTCAAAGTAACCACCCTGCATACAGAAAACCCAAGCACGCACACACACACACACACACACACACACACACACACACACACACACACACACACACACACACACACACACACACACACACACACACACACACACACACACACACACACACACACACACACACACACACACACACACACACACACACACACACACACACACACACACACACACACACACACACACACACATATATATATATATATATATATATATATATATATATATATATATATATATATATATATATATATATATATATATATATATATATATATATATATATATATATATATATATATATATATATATATATATATATATATATATATATATATATATATATACAAATATTCACAAATATATAGATATACAAGCAAGCAAACATATAACGAACACCAATACAAACAAGGTGGGCTTAACCCTCTTAGGA